GCAACCAATCGGAGTATTTCTCTCAGATCAATATTTCCCTCTGTCTTTCCTTTTCTCTTCCACTCTCTCTAAAAATCTATGGAGAAATATCCTCACGTGAGGATTAAAAATAAAACAAAAATTAATAAAATAGGCTAGGTCAGTGGTTGGCAAACTCATTAGTCAACAGAGACAAATATAAACAGTACAATGATTGAAATTTCTTTTGAGGGCCAAATTTTTTGAACTTAAACTTTTTCTAACTCCACTTCTTCAAAATAGACTCAACCAGGTCATGGTATTTTGTGAAAGAGCCACACTCAAGGGGCCAAAGAGCTGCATGTGGCTCATGAGCCGCAGTTTGCCGACCACAGGGCTAGGTAATTTATTTTTTAAGAGATTTGAAGTATCAAGCTTTTTACTTTCTTTTCTTAAATTTTCACCTGAGGACATGTTTTTATTGATTTTTTAGAGAGAAAAGAATGAAGGGAGATACAGACAGACAGATGTTGGTTTGCTGTACACACTCTGCCTAGGAATCAAGCCTGCAACCTTTCAGTGTATGGGATGATGCTCTAACCAACTGACCCACCAGACAGGGCCCAAGCTTTTCACTTTCAATCTCACATGGAATATGGCTTCACAACTCAAACCAGATGCCAGTAGTTGTTACTTTACTTATCCATTTCCTCTACACATGCTGCTGTCTACACCTGCCGGATCAGAATAACAAGACTTAAAGCAGTAGGACTGTGAGAAAAGCCACTCTAAAGAGATCGAACTTCAATTAGGACAGGAGTTCACCTTGCCCTGTAATGTTTCCTGAATGTTCTTTTATAAAGAACAAATTATTTGATTTAATATTAGCAGTTGAAAACACTTTGTGGGTACCCATGACTAACTTCCGTGTGGGTATCACAGCATAGGATGCAAGCATCTGGTAAACACTGAATGAGTACAATGGGTGAGGCAGGGGATTAGGTGCTAGTGACACAAAGATGAATAAGACACCCAGGGAAGATGTTGAGTGTGCAAACAATGCCAACAGAACTCAAGTGCTACAGCAGTTGTGGGTACAAAATGTCTTGAAAGCACACAGAGGAGGCAGTGACTAATTCTGTCTGGAGAGAGTCATCGGTGTGGGGAGATGGAGAATAATGGGAGATATAACCAGGGAGAGCCGGATTAAAGAACCCTAATCAATTTCTCAGTATTCACTTTCCTTGAGCAACTGCATTCACTTCGAAGGATTCAACAACTCCCCAAGTTAACAGCCTCTATATATATACCTCAGCTCCCAACTCTCTCTTGACTCCAAGCACATATTCTAATCTACCTCAGAACACCTATCTCTGTATGTCTCAGAGGTATCTCATGTAAAAGATATCTCTCTTATCTCCTCAGACTTCTTCTTACTTTATTCCCATCCTAAGTTTTCAGTCAGTGTCCAAATTATAAAACCGCATTGTCATCTTCTATACCTCCTTATCTCTCACCTCCAAGTGGCCACCCAGTCCTATCAATCCTATTTCCAAAATCTCTCTCAAACCATCACTTCTTCTCTGTCCCTCCATTCCTTCTGTGCAGACCTACATCTTTACCCCTTCCAACTACTATGGTAGCCACAAAATTTATCTTCTCCAAACTGTTTCCATTTATCCATTCAACTGGATGCAAGGCATTATGGCTACTGCAGCAAACAAGACTTGCAAAAAAAATGTGCCTTATTTCCTATTTACTCATTCTAGTCCAATTTCTTTTTAAGATTAATCTGGTCTTGACACATACTAGCTTCAAGTCTTCAGTAGCCTCTCACTGCCTAAAGGAGAAACTCCTAGCATGAACCACAAGGCTGTTCAAAAATCTGGCAAATCCTACCCTTCCAACCTCTTGTTCTGCCATCCTCTCACAGGCCCTTCAAACTCAAGACACATCCAGCTACTTCCCTGTTACTGAAACTGCATGTTTCTACAGGCTTTGCTTTAGCAAATGTTACTTCCTGTGGCTGAACACTCTTTCCTCTTCTCCCCTTTGGGAATTCTTACCCCAGAGATACCAAGTTTCCATGCCCAAACATGGTACTCATCACATGGTATATAAATCATGTTTAAAAGTCTGCTTCTTCCACTTGGCTGTGAGCTCCTTACAGGACAGGAGCTGTATCACACATGAGTCTATCTTCATAGTAAACATTCAGTGATCTTTGGTTGCATGAAAAAGCAAGGAAGAAGTGTAGCAATCTGGAAAGGTTAAGAAGCCATGGTCAGGAAAATTGGGAAAGGCAGTTCACACCTAACCCGATGACCTGTGCAAAGTACTTACTTTGTGAAGTACTTTGTACCTCTTAGGGCTCTAAGGCTAAAGCTTCCTTGTCGGCATGTTTCTGGAAGTACAAGACAAAACAGCTTTGTCCACCATCAGGCAGAGAAGCAGGACCATCCCTTCTCATTCCTCTCAATGTTTCTGATTTGACCGGAGAAACACACAGCCATGGCGACTGGTCTCACTTTAAATTCATGACAACTAAGTCCAGGTGGGTCCTTACTGCTGCCCAGAAATTCTACATTTCTCCCTTTTGCTCACTCAAGTCAGGACTCATTTACCTGCCATGCTTCCCATTATTAGAAATAAACGGTGCTCTTAGTTAAGACCAAACTTGCTCTACTTGGTCTAGAGAGTCCACTCTTTCATGCTTACTAACATCACTCCAGCATTTCTATCCTCTCTCCTGTTTCACCATTTTTGTCCCTCTTTATGAGACTATTTCTAATTTCTCTTACAAAAATAAAAAAATAAAAATAAAAACCATCTCAAACCCTCTTTCTAGTTCAGTTAGCACCCTTGTCTTCCTTTTCTAAGAAAACTCCAGACCATTGCTTAACTCACTGTCTCCAATTCCTTACCTCCTACGCTCCTTGAACCTATGCCAATCAGACTTTCACTCCTAGTGCTCCCAAAAGTTGTTCAAATTCATGGAAGATCTCCATTAAAGAGCATTACACAGTTGATTTTTCTCTCCCCCCAAGAGTTTCTTCATCTGGGTTCCAGGATTTCATTCTCTTTTGGTTTCTCAGTGGTCATTCCCTCTCAGTCTATTTTGCTAGTTCTTTCCCATCTCCTCATTCTCTTCAACATGTTCCCCAGGGGTTAGTCTTTTCCATCAACATACATGGACTCCTGGTTTTAAATACTATCTACATTTATAACTCCAGTCCAGGGAGACTCTGAACTCTGGGCTCATACATTCAGGTGCCTATTCAACATCTCAAAATCTCCACATAGATATTAATAACTATATACAAATTAACATGCCTCAAAACAAAATCTTGAAACCACTCCCTGCCCCCAAAATGTTCTTCCCATTCTCCCCCATTTAAGAAAATTCAGAACTCCATCTTTCAAGTTATGGCCAAAATGATTGGAGTCATTACTGATCCTTCTCTTTATCTCACTCCACATCTTCTAATAAATCTAGTTAGCTCTACCCTAAACTGTCACTAAAATCCAATCACTTCTCATCACCTTGAACTCATCCAATAACCTCCTGACACATTCTACCTTCAACATGCCTGTCAAAGTGATCGTTTTATAATTTAATTCAGATCATATCACTTGACTGAAAACTTTCCAATAGTTTCTCATCATGGACTGCAAGGCCTATATACAATCTGGCCATTCCTTACCTTCTAACCCAGTGGTTGGCAAACTGCAGCTCACAAGCCACGGTTTGCCGCTCTGTTGACTAATGAGTTTGCCGACCACTGTTCTAACTTTAAGGGCCCCCTCTCCCTCTTGCTCACTCCATTCTAGCCACAATGGCTTTCCCTCTGTTCCCTGAATACATTTTCCACCTCAGGGCCTTTGCACTTGGTCTCCTTTCTGCCTGAAAAATTCCTCTCCCAGTTATCCACATGGTTTACTCTCTCACCTTCAGGTTTTTGCTCAAAAGTCACCTTCCCAATCTTGACTGTCTTGATTACCCTTCTTAAAATTGCAACTTCCCTCAATCTCTCATCTCTGAACTTTCTTCCTAATATATGGTTTACTTTGCTTAGTTTATTTTATGTATTGTCTATTTCTCCCTACGTGAGAGCAGAGATATTTGTTCTGCTGACTGCTGTATCCTCAGGGCCAAGAACAGTGCTGACCTGTGGATCTGGCTCAAAAGGTTATTTGTTGAATGAATAACATGTAAAATTCTCAGTTTACTGCTAGCATGTCTTTAGACTCTCAACATTGCTAATCCTCTTTTAGAGTTCATCACCTTATCAGGTAAAAGTATAAAGTCAGAATTTAGTAACATTAAATTAAAATGTTTTACTTGCTTTCTCTTTCCAATTGTTTTATTTTATTTTATTTAACACACAGTGTTTCTATTTGTTCTTGTAACAGTTTTTAACTTAATAAATGTTTTTAAGTTTAAAAAGCGAGTTTCTTCTAAGAAAAACATTAATAAATTACAGTGGGATTAGCAAAGAAAGAACAAAAATAGTGAAAGTGGTATTTGAATGCCTTAAGTTTAAGAACTCTCTTAGGGTAGTAAGGTAAAGTATAATTAGAGATACATAATGAATGGTATTTTTAGTGTATGCCCCAAATATTGTATTGGCACACAACCGCACTAAGCAATTTTACCCATCTGAAATCCCATTTTAAATGAGCATCCTTTTTTCTCCCTCTTAATCTGGCATCCCTCTCTTAGGGCAAAGGAATTACACCAAGCGCGTTGTCGCTTTCATTTAGATTTAACCACAAGCTAGATGAACTCTTGTCCTATCAACAGACTGCGTGGCTTTTACGTCCCTGTGGGAGAGTACTGAGGAATGACGTCTTAAAAACCAAAGAGGGCTGGGTTCGCAGTGCATTTTGGGAGGGGAATGGGCCTCAGCACTAGCAGCCTCGCCGCACTGACCGGGGAAGCAGGGGGTAGGGGAAGGGTTCCGGGCCCAGCTCCCTTCCTCAGCCTCTCAGACACCTGCTTAGCGGAGGCTGAGGCTTGGCAGCCCCTTTCCGGCCCTTACCAATGTTGCCTTCGATGGAGAGCCTTCGGGGCCCTTGCCCCGCGTGCAGGCCCTCGGAGCGGGGCACGCCCTGGAGCGGGCTCTGAGCCATGGAACTGGAGGGGGTGCGCAGAAGCCTCAGAAAGCGCCTGCCTGCGGCCATCCCACCCAGGATTCCCGCAACTAGCACTTCCGCCAAGAGCACTTCCGCCGAGAGCACTTCCGCTCCCGGCACTGCGGTCCGTCCACAACAGCGCGCCTCTGACGTCGGAGAGACCGCCCGTCAGGAAGTGGGCGGGGTTGCGCTGACTGAGAGGGTGGGGCCGAAGGGTCCGCTCTCGTCTCGCGATGTTTGATGAGAAGCGTTGTGAGAAAGTCAAGTTCGGTTTGGAGATGCGGGAAAGTTTGCTGATACCAAGGGCGTGATTAACCCCTTTGCATTTGCTCCTTGGAAAACAGCACTTCAAAAGAGGCATAACAACTCCATCGCCTTTGCATTTTTGTATAACTTAAAAATCATTTTCATAAAAAAAAATCAAAGTAATTGTAATTTTAAATGAGGTTTCTTTTTCCCCCCAGGTGTTTGTTGTCTGGTTTTTATATTCTAAAATGGGATGAAACTGGACATTGTTAAGTAGGAAAGTGATGCAATCTAACAGTTTACAAATTCACTTTTTCCCCTTCCCCTGTAACGCGGCAGCACAATGCTGGCACTTTTATGGAATAAATCAACAAATAAGTTCAACTACATCCCACCTCTTACTTTGCCTCTTGAGTAAATACTAGTTAACGTTTGCTCAATCGATTGGCTTAGTAGCCAAAAATCCCATTAGGATAGAGTGGGTGGAGGCTGGAAGTGACTGGAACCGGTTTAAACACGATAGATTGGGTTCTGTGGGCGTGAACAATTGCGGGAGTGGGGGGAGAGGGGAGGAATGAGGTGCAGGTTGGGGTGGAGAGTGATGGGGATTCCCAATGGGGTTTGTAAAGGAAGAGCCGGGGTACAGAGGGATTAACAAGCTAGTGTATAATATTAAACCCGAGTCCTGCTGCCGTTGGAGAACTGCTTTGCAGAGGGGCGGGAACAGTTCTGAGCTGCCACACCCAAATGTCTCAATGGCCTCCGATTTAAGGCATGTCAGGGGTGCTCCCACCTTCTATGCTTTAGTCACAAGAGTCAACAGGCAAAACCGCATGCGGGCAGCACTCTTGGAGGTGGGAGCTTTTTAGGAAGCAGAGACCTGCTTGCAGAGGGGTAGGGAGGGGGGAAATGGCTGGGACACCTGTCTTGAAGCTGTTTGTATAGCAAGCACAAGCCCTTCAACTGCTATGTGATAGGCTATTTGTAGGTTCCGTTTTAGTAAGTATTCCTAAATCATAAATAGGTCCACAGTGTTTGATTGTACCCGTGGACACTGCCACCAGCAATAAGTGAGCACACGCTCTGGTTGTTCCACATTCTTACCAACAGTTGGTATTTTTGTGTGTATTTTTTTTCATTCTGCTGAATATAATGGTGTCTTATTATAGTTTTAGTTTGCATTTTCCTGATGACTAATGAAGTAAAACACCTTTTCATATATTTATTTTAGAAACCTCTGTTGTGAAGATCCTGTTTAAGTCCTATGCCCATTTTGCTACTGGCTGTCTTTTACTTATTGTTATTATTCATTACATATTTTGCATGTAAGTCCTTTGTGAGTATTTTCTCTGTTTCTTGCTTCTAAAAGCTCACAAGTGGTTTTTTTTTTTATGTATAGTGTGACATAAGAGACAAAAATGTCATTTGCCTAAATTGCCTGTCAATTATCTCAATACTAGTGATGACTCTTTTATCCCCTTTATTTCTTTATGCTTGCTATTCAATATCTTTCTGGTCTTAATTCCAAATTCCCAGAAGAAAAGACCTGATGGGCCCAGCTGTGCCCAAAAGATAGGGTCTCAGAGAACAAACGTGAATATTAGGTCCCCACCCTTGTGCACGAGAGAGGAGGGCTATTAAAGGGGTCGTCGTGAGCAAAGCTGACATCTAAAAAAGGAGTGATCAGTTCCTCCTAAAAGTAGTAAACAGGGTGTTTTCATCCCACCTTAGGTGTTGGCCAGAGACAGATAGTAGTGGCATTTTGGTGAGCAGAATTATGTCCCAGCAATGAGGCCACTTTTTGCTCCTGGGCGATTGTCAGGTATCTGCTGGAGTTTATGAGTAAGAGCTAACTGCCCTACATAAACTCTAGCCACTCAGTATCCATTCCTTCATTCAATATTTACTGAGCATCTACTATGCACTGCTTAGTCCTTGGGGTGCAGCTCTGAAGGAATTACTATTTTCAAGTGTTTTGTAAGTGCTAGTGTGGCAAATAAAATATTGACTCACATTACAAAAATGTTTATGTAGCCATTCAAAATGGGGAACTAAATACACACAATTGTGACCCTGACTTTCTTCTTCTGCTCGGACATCTGGCCAGTGACAGTCTTTCTACATCAAGGGTATCATGATGTGCTGGGCTGTGCTAACTCAAGTTGGTGAAGCTGGGAAGGACGCTCCTGGAGTCCCCTCCTGACGGGGCGGTGAATTAGAGTTGGCCAAAAGAGGGCCTCATGTGAGATCTAGAAAGCAGATGGAAGCCTCAGCAACTTCTCTTGGGAGATTTCCATAGTCAGATTCTGTGAGAGACAGATGTGCCCACAGATAGACAATAGCTAGTCCTCAAGGCTGATCATCCCACAATTCCTTCTATACCTTCTCTTCCCCAGCTCCTCCCACCTTTGGGTAGACTCATTCCTAATAACTTCCTTCTTTCTGCAATGCAGATGGTGGCCCTGCTCCTCTGAGTACTCTGACGGATACACCACATCACAGAGGGAGGCATCAGGGGGGTGGCTAAGATTAAGAGGGGGGCTCTGGATTCAGTGAGGATGAAGAAAGCTAATCCATAAGCAACTTTGAACACCATGCATTGTCACACGGCCACCACCCAATGAACGTTATACAATAGGCAATGGCTGCTTTAGCTTGGCCCCAGTGCCTGGGACATAACTTCTATTTATCCTTGGTTGACTTCCTGTTGGATTTCCACGCTCTCAAGCCATTGCAACCAACCCACTGAAGAATTCTAGGACAGCACTTCTTGAAGTGGGGCAAGACTGGACGGGGGAGGGAAGGGAAGACCAATTGGCCCTCCCTTCTTCTCCCATATGGAGATTTCTCCCGTCTCTAGCAGGGAGTGTCAGTACTCCACACCTCCATGGGTTCATGGGTGCGTGCATGGGCCCTCTAATCTCCCCGCTGTGATTTCTCTCCCAACAACCAGTGCCTGTGGCTTTTCTTTGCAGGACTGCCTTCAGCCTACTGGGGCCCTTTCCCTTCACAAGAGGAAAGCCTGGGACTTTATGTCCATGGTGCACCTACACTGACAGGTGACTGTGAAAGCCCAGCTCATTGCCTACGGTCAGGCTTAAACTCCAGAGCTATCTGAGGACCAGGCTGAAGCTATGCCTCAGAGGTTCCCTCCTGGGCTTCCTCCCCTTTCCTGTCCTGCCTCCTCCATCTGCTTATAGGTTTCCCCTGCAAGCACTTCCTTAATAAATTATTTGCATGTGAGCCCTTATTTTAGGTTCTGCTTCTGTGAAACCCTAAGACATAAATCCTCTAGGGGGATTTTCAGAACATGGTTCTCCACCTCACCTTCAGAGGGAACGTGCACAGGAGGTGGAGGAGGAATGTCTGACATTGAGGTCCCTGCACTTCTAATGAGGTCCACTGTCTCCAAACAGGTATTTCTGGGAAGCTCAGGGACCAGGTGAGATCTGCTCAGGCGCATCAGGTGTGAGACTGGGATAGGTGGAGAGAGGGAAGGGTATACCAGGCAGAACTGAGTTCTGCCATGATAGAGTTAACTAGTAAACTAGTTATAAAATGGAAATGATACTAGTACCTGCCTCATAGGGCTGTGGTGAGAATTAAATGAGGAAATCATGTAAAGCTAGCTCTTAAATTAGTGCCTAGCATATAGTAAACACTCAATCTACATTAGCCATTATCATTTTCCCTTATTTCCTCATAGTACTTTGTGGGTGCTTCTATTTCACCTCAAATCATTATCTTATATGTTTATGTCTGTCTCTCACTTTCTGCAACAAAACCCTGATTGGTAGCAGTCATCTTTGTGGGGTATATAAACTCCATGTGGCCTTACCCAGTAATTGTAGATTTATTTACCAAAAAATCAGTAAATACTTGTGAAATTAAATAGAATTGACTAAGAATAGGGAAGGGGGAGCAAATGAGAGATTGAGAGAGTGAGAGAGAAAGAGAAAGCGAGCACTACTTTCTTGATTAGTAGTTTGGGGCAAAATACAACCTAACCCTCAAGGGCAAAGACCTCATAGAGATTATAAGCCCACTATAAACTTTCTTCACTTCAACTCAAACAACATTGCGTTTTTGGTCACATTATGTCCCACCCTATAGGCCTGTGTTTCTTTCTGCTCTTGTTCTCTGTGCATGGACTCAACACTCGGAAAGCCCTTGTTTCTTACCCGCCCCCAACAAGTCATCCAGCCCTCATTCTCGCTCATGTTCAAGGAAAAGGAACCAAGGTAGTAGGGTAGGAGTACTAACATTAGAGTCAGCTACATTTGGATTTTAATCTTGGTTCTGGATGATCTTCAACAAGTCCTTAACTTCCCTGGCCTCAGTTTCTTCGTCTGTAATATGGAGGCGATACTAGTGCCTCTCTCACAGGGTTATGTGTGAATTAGGAATAAAACATGAAAAGCCCTCGCACTGTGCGTGAGACATAGCCCGTGGTGGGAGGGGGCGGGGAAAGAGCTCCACACACAGGAATAAGGCTTGCAGGTTTTAATGTTTCATGATTTGTAACAGCAGTCTCAGGGAGATCCCCAGAGAATCTGTTCTGACTTTAGAAGCATTTCCTGTGGACAATGGAGGGCCCTGCCTCATCGTACTCTGGCTTGCTGATCCACATCTGCTGGAAGGTGGAGAGAGAAGCCAGGATGGAGCCTCCAATCCAGACGGAGTACTTCCGCTCCGGGGGAGCAATGATCTGCAAAGAGCAAATGTGATGAGTCACGATCAGTCCCCAAGGGGATAGGAAGGTGGTCTCAGAATCACCTCATCAAACTGCCAGGCTGCCCCAG